TCAAGCCTTTCCCAGCTGACCCAGAGCCGGTCGCGGCGCACCATCAAGGTAGAAATACTCCCTCCTGGAGTTGTTCAGCACTGCTGACTGTCTGTTTAATGGGATGTCGGACCAATGGGCTGTCGGACCAATGACATGGACCCATCCCAGGCAAAATGTCACTTCACTTTGGTGTCACAACTAATTTCTCCGTATTCTTATGCAATGACAATAAAAGCTTTCTAGTTCTAGGTCTAGTTCTCGCGCTTGACTCCCCTGATGTGGCTTTCTCTGACTTATGCCTGTGTGTGTTGTGTCTCTGAATGTATGGGCTGTGTACCTGACAGTTATGTTGCCTCTCATGAATGTGTTTTTGGTCTTTGGTCTCCGTGAGTTGTTTTTAAATGTGCTTTATAAATAAATTTGAGTTGAGTTGAGCTAATGTTAGCACAAAGCATGCAGCCTCAACAGTGAGCATTTGGACTTGCTTGTGATCGTGACATTTAACAGAGTTGTTTATTCATGTAATTAGAGAGCTGGTTGAATGTAGCCAACTCATCACTCAAACACAGGGGATAAATGAAACAACACTGATGCTATGTGCTCTGATGTTAGTTTTTATACAGTGAGGGAGGGGTTATAATAACAATGGCTCCAGTGTGTCATCAGGCCATGATTTCAGGCCAACCCAAAAAATCCTACACACAAAACAATGAAAAATAGTCTAACTCCACAATGCAGCACTGAATAGTCTTTTCATATATTTTCAGTAAGTATTTGCTTTTACTTTACCAAGACTTAAAAGATTTGTGCAGACATTATAACAAATTATCAAGTGATGTAGACAGGAATATTTAACTTATGTGAGCCTGCAGCCAGCATTTGAGCTTCAGAGCACTGGTTTGTGTTTACTTCCTCAAATTGTAACTCCACCCTGTAATTTATCTTACAGACTTCATGTGAACTCAACATATGAACATGTGCTCCATGTGCAAACAAAAGAGTCTGTGCCGAAAAGATAGTTATTCTAAGCTATTGTCAACATGAAGAACTGTTTAGAGACTTCACGTGCATCCAGGGCCGTACGCAGGATTTTTGAAATACCGAGGTCATTTAGTTGTGGTGCATGAAATTTTTGTCAATTATCAAAAGGCTTCAATCTCGTGCACTTTGACAGCCAAATTAAGAGGTTACATCTATAAAGAACTACACACATCATATTAGATTAATCCCATCTTGTCATGTTTCTCTTCCCACTTCATACTATAGCGTAATTGCCTTTCACCAAACTTTGTTTGTGGGTATTTATAAAGGCTACATACACATGCTATATCTTGGTTTTTTTTGGGCTAACCAGATTTGCCATCATTACATGTCCTCCTATGTGCCTCTATTTTATATTAATTTTTATATCAATGAAAAAAACAAATCCGTGTTACTAAATTCTTCTTCTTTCTTCTTTGTATCTCACCATAGCAAATTGGAAAATGACATATTCTGCCATATATGAAGAGGGGAGACTCTCTGGAATCTGGCAATATAAGAACCATGATGCTGGTACATTCTGTCACTTCACAGCTGTCCAAAACATGTGGTTTGTGCCAGGCGGACATGATTGCCAGTATTTTTTCATTATTGCAGGAAATTCCATTGACTCATTCACAAGTCAAAAATGTGTTTTATCTGAAAGAAACATGCAATATTTACATCTATGATAATAGAAAAATAGTCAACCAAGTGCAATGATGTCCTCCAAGATAATATTTGCCACTTTGTTTACAGTAAAAAAAAAATTCTGGACGTTTTCTTGTCGACATGATCTTGACTTACTTCTCTGTGCTCCGTGCTGCTCTTTGACCTGGCCTGAACGTTTTTTTGTTGTTGTTTTTCAGGTTCAGTTATATACTGGGGGGCATTTTGGGCATGGGGGGGCGTGTCCCCCTCAATGTATATGGTGACTACTGCCCTGTCACACATGCATAATTAGGCTACAGTTGTCTGGGTGCGCAAAGGTGAAGTGCGCTGGTCTTGTCATGATGGAGTGTCAACTGGATAATATGGAGATATTTGCATCTTGAAAGCTAGACTACAAATGTGGATAGACAGGGAGAAACACAGGCAAGCCTAAGATGTGGTAAGATACGATATTCCTCACTATATGAAGTGACTGATAACAAGATCTGTATAATGGATTGTAAAGAAATTCGTCAGGTTTTTATTTTGTAGACAATTGATCTGTATTTATAGCATGATGGGATGACAGCACAATGATATGTGTGGTATCACTGGAAAGCTCTGGTCCTGTGCTTTCATGTGATACGTGTGGCATGTCTGTGCGACCAAGCATTCGTGAGTACTAATCCATCCAAGAGTAACATTAATGTGTGTGCAAAGCTGTGTTGAAGCTTTGTTATACATAATTTTAGTGTAACTTTATCATTTTTTTCGCTGTGAAAACACTGGACCATGGGGAGAAAATCCATAGAGAAGAACAGGTGTGAATTTGGACACACGATGCGTCGTTCGGGCCCATAGGGTTAAAATAGCAAGCTAACATTACCTAGCTAACGTTTGCTAACATTTCATATGTTTCATTCATTCATTCATTGCAACATTACTTCATGCATGTACAGCCAGCCGCTGCCTCTTGTTAGAAGAATTACAAGAAGCAAGCAAGCATCCCAAACTGAAATGATTTTAGTTTATTCAGTTACCTGGCTCGATCGCTGACTGCTGTCCATGCCTGCTTCAGACAGTCTGAGTGGCAGCCTGACAGGTGCTCGAGTCGCCCCACTAAACACAGCACGTGTGTGAGTGCGTCGATCAAGTAAGAGTACCAGAATTCTTTTTTTTTAAATAATTGTTATTATGGAGAAGAGAGAGTCACTCAATCACCTTCCATCGGTCCTCTCACGTACTTTCACATCACAAATGAAATGGTTTATTTTTATTTTCATTTTATACATTCATTTAGGTCGGAAAAAAATACAGAGGTCATGACCTCGGTGTCCTCAATGGTAGTTACAGCCTTGCGTGCATCCCAGGCAAATTGCAGACTCCCTGAGGGCCTGGACCAAAGAGTTGTTCCTCCTTTCCCCTCCATCCTTTATCTTCATCCATTTTCTTTCTTCTTACACTTCCTTTCCTCTTTCTTGCTTCCTGTTTTGCCTCTTTTCTCAACCCCTCTGTGTTTTTCTCTCCTTGTCTACTTGTTAGCACTTCCTCTCATCTCTGTGTACAGTAACTAGTAAAAGTGTGAGATGCAGTAGGCTGCTTGGGATATTTTCTTTAAGCTCCTTGGTTTTGCATTTCAAAAACTAAGGGGCCAAGACCCAAATTATTGTAGGCCCATTGCTTTTAAAGAGTATTCCAGGGATTTAGTATTACACTTGCATAAAGTCTTGATACCTAAAATAGAAATTTTGTCACTAGAACAAGCTCCAGGAACATTTTCCGATCAGTAGTATCTTTTTCTTAGATCCTCCCTGAGTGGTGTACAACCACATCTGTCAAACTCCACACCCTGTTTATACTGTGCTCTCCAGATCCAAACTTAGATTACCCTGATGACATCATAAGGGTAATTTGACTTGTCAAAGCTACTTCAGAGTAACAGTAGACACTGTCTGTTTTCACAGACTGGGTAGTCAGCACTTCATTTTAACAGGGGAGGTGTTTTCATGTGGCAGTCATATTTAATTTGGCAAGATGTTTATACTAACAATGGCATGCTGAATTGGTGTCTGGAGCAACTGAGACATCAATACTATCTGATAATCAGAAAAGTACAGTTAGAGGCATACTTACCCAAAAAGATCCAGATGATTGGGGCGCCCACTAGCTCACCTGCAGAGCAAGTTCCCATGTACAAAGGCTTTGTCCTTGCCACAGCCAGTGTTGCCAAGTCCGCTTATTATAAGCGACTTTGGGCTTGTTTTTCTGTAAAGTCGCTTACAAATATTGGTAGTCGCAGGTCACGTTTTTTTGGGCTTATCTCTAAAGTGTAGTTGCTTATTTGGGCTTGTTCCCAGCTCCATAATAAGTTGTCAAGCAGATATTTTTGATATGTTATTTAAACGTAGGATAGTTTGTCTTGCCTGTTCCCTCTGTCCCTCCCCTTTCCCCATACACACAGGAGACAGCAGAGTTTATTCCCACCCGCATCCTGCTTCTAATTGGCTCTGGCTCTGATGGCAACGAGTACTAGCCAATCAGAGGCAGACCAGGGTAATGTGTTTTTTTTCTGGTTAGGAAAACATCAGAAGAAAAAGTTAGATGAGTGCATAAAAAGCAATAATAAATAAAGAATTTGTGAATTCAGGATGATATTTATTTGTGTGTGCAAATTTTAATTATCAGAGGTTTACTGTGTATATAATGTACTTGGTACATCAGTCTATATTTGATATCCCATCTGTTTTCTAATGTTAAATAATGTTAAAAGGTGGTTTAACTCTCTCTTGTGGTCATTGTCCTGAAGCTCAGGGGGGAGAAAAATAAATAAACTGTGTACCGTGGGTACAGTTTTGCAAAACTGCACACAGTTTACTTATCTGTCCACATGGTTGTAAATTGGCAATCTGTACCCACAGTTTAAAATCCGTCCCCACGGACTGTAAAACCGTGCACATAGTTTATTTAATTTTCTCTCACTGGAACCTAGGGGGGCTCCGTAGAAAAAGTCGCTTGTTTTGGGCTTGTTTTCACAGGCCTGGTTGCTTATTTGTCTCGCGAGATCTGGCAACACTGGCCACAGCAGCCATGGGTTCAATTCCAACTTTGCTGCATGTCATCTCCCTCTCTCTCTACTCATTTCACACAAGATTTTCCTAGCTAATAAAGGTAATAATGCAAAGAATAATCTAAAGATCCAGATGAATGACTGACAGCTGTGCTGAAGGAATGTCCAAGTTACTGAAGCAAAAAAAACAAACACGTTAGTAATTTGGCTTCCAGCTCGCCAAAGGAAAATAACAGCGTGTGTTCTGTTCTCTTTGTGTTTGTTCTTAAATTACCTGCAGGACATTTCTGAGGGAGCTGGAGGACTGTGTAGAGAAACCAGAACTGGTGGGAACCTGTTTTCTGAAAAGGGTGAGTAGTTTAGAAACAGTGATGGAAAGTCCATTTCAACAAATTACAGTTTTGGGTGCTTGTGTTTTACATGAGTGTCTATATTTTTATAATTTAAACTGTCACCCAGAGTTACATATTTTCCTGATAATGGATACTTTCTCAGTACTTTTAGCACTTAAAGTACTCATATTACTTATGTACTGTCAAAGCACTATTTTATTGTGCAATATTACTACTTTTTCAAGTAAAATCATTGTAGTTTTAACATGGATTGGCTCTACAAGAAAAATAGCTAACTGCTAGCTTGTCAGAGAAGACACTTTTTTGCTTCCTGTGTGTGTTATCCATAGGGGATGGAACCTAGCCTGGTGTTGCCAGACCCAATTCGCAAAACGCGAATGGGTCTACTGTGGACAAGGAGTGTAAATTTCCTCTATTCCCAAGGGGCAGTATCAACGGCTGTTTCTCAAAGTGCCCCTTCACGCAATTGGAAAGACGGAAAACCAATCAGAGTAAACGAAACGTGTGACGTAGCTAGCACAACACCACTGTAAACAGACCAGCAAGCTGCAGCAGAGATGAGCTGTGATGATGTCTGGGAAAGAGTGTTGCCATCTTTGCAGATTTCCTCCTCACTGTGGACTCTGAGTTGCATGGCTGTGATTCCCAACTTGGTCGCTTCCCTGACCTGCTCCTCCATGAGAGCAGCTAGCGGAGAAACAACAATAGCCACTGGGTTTTCACTGAGTCCGATCTTTTTCCCAATCAATGGAGTCAGTTGGTAAATTAAACTTTTACCAAACCCCGTAGCAAGGACGGCAAACACATCCTTCTTTTCAATAAAAGCTTTCAGTGCAGCCGTTTGCTCTGGCCAGGTAAGCCAAAACTAATGCCAGAATTCGCGTCTATGGCCTCTAGTTTCGCAGACCGGGGCAGAGGCGGAGGCGCAGCGCACCTGCGCTTCGCCAACTGGGTGTGGCCAGGCGGATTTTGCAAGTTTGGCACACCGTGTGCGCTGGCACAGCTACCCCTCTTTCCCACCTCCGTCCCTCCTACCTGTGCAAGTCGGAAAGAGAGAGAAGAGAAGGCGTGGAGTGGGTTGTACACACATCACACCAATCAAATGAGCCCCTCTCGTTGCCCTTAAATGCGCTGCGCGAGGGCGTAATGAGAGTTTACTCAATTCGCCATGGCAGAAGAGAGCAGCAGCGTCAGACGGCCAAACTTCTCCCAGGAGGAAACTGATGTTTTGGTCCGGGAGGTCCAAGCTCGCAGTGTCCGAATATACGGAACTGCGAGCAGACCTCCACAGGCTGATGATGCAAAGGTAGCCTGGGAGGAGGTCACCACAATTGTAAATCAATGTTGCCTTTCTCTCGTGCGCGCGCACTGTCTCTTTCTCTCTCGTAGTCTCACTCTGTTTTTTCTTTTGACTTTTCTAAGATGACAGATGCTGAATATATACTCCCTATCTGATGCTGTGGCCGTTTGTGGTTGGCTGAGAGGGATGTGAACTCATTAGCTTGCAGCTGTGTTAATCAAATCAGGTTGGGTTTCCATTACAAGTGCCAAACGTGCCAAACG